GGGGATGCTGATTGATTAGGGAAATGAGAAAGGGGAATACAGGGTAGGGAGGATTGACATGGGCATATCTAGCAAGAAAGGAATAACTCCTGAGGGACTCCCAACAACAAAGTCACTGTACTTGCATGTAAGTGAGGGGACTGAGACCTGGTGGTTTGCAGGGGAGATATGGGTCAGACCAATAGGCCAGCCCATATGGGAGGCCTGAGCTGGGTTTCTTAGCATGGAACATTGCTGACCACCACATGCCATCCCCCACAAAAGCTAGGGCTGCAGCCTTTCTTGCAGTTCTAGACTCTAGTACCTGACAGTGAGTGTTGGAACAGGGGACAAGTCACATTAGGCTGGGCCATGACACGAACCAAGAGAACTAGGTCCGGGAGCAGATTCTATGGGGGATTTGTGGGTCTAACCCTGCAGGATTACAAATCCCATTGGTCAGTTTAAGAATTGAGGTAGTGATGTGCTGAGCTACCCATATTCATGGAACCTGCCAACATTTACAGGTACTGGGGTGGGAACAGGACAGGCAGGGTCAAGCTGCAGCACCTGCATGCACACTCTAAAATAGGGAGTGGGGCGGCCTGAGCCACAACATCCACCATCTCATACAAAAGCCAGGATGGAGGGGGCAGGCTATGTCAGTTAAGGTCCTGGGACCTGCTGGCATGTGTGAGATATGGGTCTGGGAGAGGGAATAGTGGGGAACTTGGGAAACTCCCCTAGGGAGTCACAGCTTCTGCTGATCAGCATGTGATCCAGGATGGGTGTTGGGAAGGATGAGCAAGGTAGCTTCATCCACTAGCAAGTGTGTGGGTTGATTTTGGAAGGGGGTGGACCAGACAGTGCCAAACAAACCTTAGCCCACTGTCAAGTGCATAAATCAGGCTGGAGTGAAAATCACACTAGGCTAGGTTATCACATCTACCAGTTTGCATGAGCCAGGGATGGAAGCAGACTGAGCAGGGCCTGGTTGTAGCCTGCCAGCAAGAGTTGGGATTGGGTGCTGGCCAGGTAAGGCCAGGCAAGGCCAGGCTGCAGCTTCAGAAGGCAAAGGCCAAGACAAATGAGGAGCTATGCCAAGCTGGGTCAGAGCAATCACTGGCAAGCGTGAGATCTGTGGTGGGGAATAGGCCTGATTGGGGAGCTAAGGGGACATACTGGCTCGGTTGTAGTTCCTGCTGCTGAGTGTGAGAGCCAGAGTGGGAGCTGCAGTCTTGTCTGAACTGTAGTGTCCCTTGGCACAGGTCTGGACTGGGTCTGGAGTGTGCCAGACTGGGCTAGACTCCAGCACCCACTGCTGCACATGAGAACCATGGGCTGTGCTAGGTTTCTGCTCCTGCTGAGCTAAGTGCAAGCTGTGCCTGGGTGTGGACCAGGCTTGGCTAGGCTGTAGCACCCAACTAGAAGAACCAGAATGGATGAGGGCCTGTCGGGAAACAACCATGTTCCTCTAGGACAAGAGGTGGATCAACCAGTGTGAGCAAGATCTAGAAATGGGAGAGGTTCTGATAGAGGAACTTGGGGAACTCCTCTGTGGACACAGTCCCTGCAAGTGAGTGTACGAACCAAAACAAAGAGCAGACCAGAACAAGCCAGGTAATGGTACCCACCAGTATACATTTGGCTCAGGTCAGGGGCAAGCCAGGCTGGGCCAGGTCATATCATCAACTGGCAATTCCAAAAACTAGAATGGTGTATGGGTCATGTCAGGTCTGTCTGTAATACCAGCAGTTCACATGAGGGCTGGGACACTGGCTGGGATGGGCTACAGGACCCACCGGCAAATGTTGAGGTGAGGTTGGCCGTGATAGACTGGGCCGCAGTGTTCAACCAGCACATGTGGGTGGGGGTGGGGGAGGAGGCAAACCCAGCAGGGAGGCTGTGTGGGGCTTCCCTGCTGGATCACCACTACCAGTGGTGAGTGAGAGCTGGAATTAAGGGCAAACCAGGTCAGGCAGGGCTACAACACAGGTTGGCCTATATGTGAGCTGGATCAGGGGAAAGCCAGACTGTGTTGGCTATTCCTACTGGTGCATGCATAAGCCAAAAAGCTGTGGGCTGGTTGGGCTTTGCTGCAGCATCAGTTGGAAGATGCTGGCATGGGGGGCAAATTTTGTTAAGCCAAACTGCAAAACTACCTGGAGAGTGCAGGATCCAGGAGTAGGAGTGGGCTCAGTAGGAAAAAATAGTGGGCACTGTCCTCTTGGGTTGCCACTCCTACTGGTCAACATGAGAACCATGAGGAGGGGAAGGCATGGCTAACAGAGAGTGGCACCTGCTTGCACCAGTGCAGACTGGACACTGGGGCTGATTGGGTTGAAGCAGGTTTCAATGCTCATTGACATGTATGAGAGTGAAATGAGATGTGGAACAGACTGGATCAGTTTACTGTATGCACTGGCAAGCATGGGAACCAAGGCAAGGGGTGGGCCTGGTGGGGGTTATTGTGTGTGGCTCCACCTAGGCTGCGGCTCCTCCTGGTTAACATGAAGGCGAAGTGTGTGGTAGCTACAACATCCATTGGTTTGCATAGAAGGCACGAATGGTGACAGAAGTGACTCAGCAATTGCAACCACCTGTGTGTGCATAGGCTGACTGAGGCGAATGACTGTGCTGGACCTTGTATTGGCAAGTACACACAAGAACCAGGTCTGAGATCGTCTCAAATGAGGTTTCTTTCGGGATCTCCCAACTGAACTGCTGGATTCAGAATTCCACCCATGGAGAAACTTGCACGTTCCATGGTCTGACTGTAGAGTGCATGTGTCAAAGCTGGGCCTCCTCAGTGGCTTAGATGGAACAGTGGACAGCATATCCAGGTGCACATGGAGGACATGGCAGTACACTGGAGCCTGCAAAAGACACCTGTGCCATAAAGAGGACAGAGGACAGAGGACAGAATAAGCTGATCAACTACCCTAGCCATATGTTGGTAGTAAATATCTGGGCAAATGGAGACTCTAGGGTGGACTATATGCCAGTGAATTCTGGGGAGATTTCATCGTGCTAGGAGTGGCAAGACTGACAGCAATTCAGAACTGATGATGATCAAAACCACTTGAGCAGGACCCTGAGAGCATGCCCCACATCAGGGACCCTGGGATGTCTGGGAGGCTAGGTGTGGCTTCTCCCCTTATCTCCCTTCTTACCCCAGATACAGGAAGGAAAAAAGAGAATTTAGAAACAATGTTCTCACCCACTTTCCTCTAGCTCTTGATGCTTATCACCCTAATCAACTATGTAAAAATCATCTCTCTCTCACACACACACACACACGCCACAGGGCCGAACTGTGGTAGAACACATAATCCACTGCCCACAAAACTGGCATCCCATATGAGCAAGTCTCAGTTACTGTTTTCCATTCAGTTCCCTGCTTAGTTGTGAACTGATGTATGGAATATTCATATTTTCTCTTTCTGACTTTCAAAAAATGAGATTTTTTTAAAAAGCTATAACATACAGAAATACAAACCCTTTAAAATTATGAACATAACCTCATGTGTAGTTTAACACCAAACAATGTTACTTTACTTTTTGGATCCTCTTTTCCAAGTTACATTAAATCTCAAAAATACCTTCTTTATTAAGTCAGCGAAAACCATTCCACATAAGCTCAGCGACAATGTTTTGTGGAGGAAACAAGATGCCACAAAGAAACAAAGGTAAGAAGCCCTTAAATTGACTACATGTTAGCTCTCATGCCAACTATCAGCTTTTAACTGGTCCACAATGATATTAAACACTGAGGCAGCGGCTCTGTGAAGCAGAAGTTATGGTCCAGTCTGCAGTGGTTTATACAGTGAGGAACACAAAATTCAGACAGAAAAGGAATACGCAGAATATCAACCAATAATTATATAGATAATATTATTAACAGTATGAAAGGTTACAACAGCAACAGGAACAGAAATATATTATTTTTATAACAAAGCAAGGATCTTTAGGTAAATGTAAATGCAAAGGAATTTCAAACACTAGAGAATTGGTATACAACATATACAATGTTCTGTCCAAAGCCTGTTCAGACCATTCTAGTTCAAGGGGAATTATACAAAAGATGAATGGGGCAACATCAGAAAAAGCAGTGGATGGAATTCTGAAAGGTATTAGGGCACTGAGTTATGGACTAATGAATCCTGAAGGTAATGAGAAAGTCATTACAAACTGAGCATACTTCTGGGTAACAGACCTGTGCTATTGATGGGTGAAATTAGTAAGGAGATTAATTATGTTATCGGTATTTAACAGAAATAAGAAAACAGAGAGAAGCATTCTATTACAATAGTCCAGAAAAATGCTAATGTTATTAACCATGGTGATAACTGAAAATGCAAAACAATATTCTTATGTGAGAGCTGACCAATGCTTGAAGTAAAAGTGTCTAGGGGAAGAAAAAGGAATCAAAGAATTTCCAAGGCTTTGAAACAGAGAAAAGTACCAGGAAAAAAAAAAAATCAAACAGTAGATCATTATTAGTAAATGTCTTTAACAACTGAAATGTTTCTAAACCAAAATTCTATTTAACACAAAGCAATAAAACAACAGAAACTGAAATGATCACCGAGTTTCTACAACTGAGTATAAGGAGCATCACATCAAATAGATGAGGAAAATATGTTCAAACATAAATCACAATACACCATGAATCTGCAGGAACTAATAAGTCCTATGAAAGAACTTTCTCCACTACAAATGATTCTTTCTACTTAAATTACCATATATTTCATATTTTAAATAAACATAAGCTTAAGCTTAGGTATCTACTGAACAATATAAATAAAGTAATATTTTGGAATACATATATTTTGACAGACCAGTCAACTGACTAGAAACTTAAGTTTCAAAATCTACTTACTAACAAACCCTTTTATAAATACAAAATCACATTTTATTTTCCTAAAAACCCTCCAAACAAAAAGTGGTAAAATTTAAGCAGAATCTTTAGCATATCATATAAAAGGCTTTTTTTTTTTTAAACAAAGCCTCTTGGTTACCTTTACTTTATCTCTTCTCAAGCAACAGAATAGACAATTTTCATCGAAAGTCCAATCAGAAATGCTTTCAGGATCACACTCTGCAAAAAACAGTAATAAATTAGTAATTATGAAATAAAACTATGCAGAAAGTAAACGAGAAATAATTTTTCAAATACTTAAAAAAATCACTAAGTAGTAGACAGGTACCACATGTCTTAAAAGTCTTAACTCTTAATTCTTCAGTTAATTTTTAACTGCTGCCTGATTTACACATTACATACATATTAACAGCATCAACTAAATACAAAAGGTGTTTGCATAAAGTTTTAACACACATGAAACCATGAAGAAAAAGAAACTTTAAATCACCAAGGTATCATGTTACCAGGAAGAATTTGAAATACCAAAAATATTTTTTAATACCTTTAAATAAACTGAGATCTTTTAATAACGTAGTTCCAAAGAGCCCCTCAAGAATACTTTCAAACCCTGAAAGGATAAAAAGAAAATCAGTTATCACAGTAATGACTGTATAATAGCAATCCGTTGCACAAGAAAATGGTGTCTTCCCAATTCTCAAGGATCCTACATTACTACCAAAGGGATGTTGAGAAAAGAGTAGCAATGACCCCCAAAAGGAACATCTGGATTCAAGAGCAAGACAAAAATAGCAGTCCCAGCTGCTATTTAAACTTTTCATCCAGCTCATTACTAAGGATCTTGGGAAAGCAGGGAGGAAGGACTAGATCCATGGGGCTCTGTACCCACAAAGGAGACCCAAAAGGAGCTCTGGCCTCCTGGCTTAAGACCAACCCAGCTACACAAGTTTGGTCATTTGGGGAATTAACCAGCACACGCAAGATTAAGTCTCATCTCTCTCTCACTCACATACTTTGACTCACTGTCTCTCCTCTCTCTGTAACTCTACCTTTCAAATAAAACATATCACAAAAAGTTTCTCTCCCAACTTGGACCACTTTCTAAAATAACCATAATAGCATATTTCTCTACACCAATTGAGACCAGATTTTTCAAGTTAACAACAGGTTCTTGGGGGAAGTCCTCATTGAAAACTTGTATGCCACAGAAACATTCACAACAGACACAATGCAACATTCTGAAAGAGGCCTTTAGATGCTTTTACAACATCACACCAAGGGAGACAGCAGGTAAAGGCTCAGGTACTTGAGTAGCTGCCACACAAGAGGGAAACAGACTGAGTTCCTAGCTGTTGGCTTTGGTCTAATTTAGCCCTGGCTGTTGTAGGAATTTGGGAATTAAACCAGAAGATGGAAGCTTCCTCTTTGTCTTTCAAAATGTAATAGTAATAATAGTAAATGAAATAATAGTAATAATAGTAAATGAAAATAATATTTTAAAAAAACCAGCAATAACCAGTTGGATATGAGTCACAAACATAAAATTTCCATATCACAAATGCAATCACTGTGAAGAATCTGATAAATAAGGTGACAGGAAAGATGATTCAATGCAGACAGTAGTATTTTAATTTTCTGGTTATAAGAGTAGTATGGTAATGTAAAGATTTTTTTTTTTGTCCTTGATAGTAACATCATTTTCAATACAGCAGTAGTGTGTAGAGTGATAATTAGTTGATTTTTTAATTCTATTTAAGACTGTTTTTTTTATTATTAGCAAACAACCGACTTTCAACTTTCCTTTCTTTTCCCCTTCGAAATCATTACAATGACATGAACAAAACTGAAGTGCCCATTTGAAGACACAAGAAATACCTATGCGTATTATTTATTAAGACATTTAAAAAATCACTATCCTCCACTCTCTTTTTACACTAGAGAAGCAAGAGAATTGGGACAGTGTTTGTGGGGGTGAGAAGGTGGTGGTGAGGCGCTGAGTAAGGTTCCACTGAGTGAGTAAGGTGGCAGTGAGGCACAGACACACAACAGCTAAGTCTTGTTTGTCCTAGAGACAGATATACTCTCAGCAATTGCTACCTTCAAAACCAAAAAATTTTTAAAATCTATGGCTTGCTTGCAACTCTTAAATCCTATCTCCTAAAGAATTTTGAGTTCAGGAACATTAAAATATGTCAACAATACACTCAAATACAGACTGCAAAAACAGTTGCGAGTTTACAGGTAGTTATTATCCTGAAGAACATAATCTATTATTCTATTACATTTATAAGGAATTATAACAAATCCCAAGCTTGCATGAAGAAAAAGGATGTAAATATAACAAGAAACAATACTGGGAGAAAAAAAAGCAAATAAAAGCTTTGGGAAATAAAACAGTACAAAGAAGGAAAAAGAAAAAAAAACCAAAAATGTTCTCAAAAATGTTAGGTATAATTAATATTGCTGAATACAGTATAGTAGTTATTAAAAAGTCAGTCTTCTTTGGCTCCTATAAAGAATATACTAAGCCAAACAAATACTATTGATTTTATACTGCAAAGCCATAATTTGCAGTCCTCTGTTCACTGGTGTTAATGTCACTCAGTTTTATTAATACTAAATATTGAATTTAGCAGTTGCATAGCAACAGGGACTGTTCTCATGTGTTGTGCTTGACATTAACAAAAGGCAAATAAGGGAAGGGCAAATACACGAAAAATTTTTACTATGAGCTCACAGAAAAACCATGAAGAACAGAGACAAAATGCTCTGGAAAATTAAACACCAGAAAAGAATGCCATGTCCTTAAATTCAATCATCAGGTATAAAGAGTATTTTTACATAATACAAATAAAAATTATCTTATTGGATTCAATTACTTTCAAAAGTATTCCTACCCAAAACAATGGTGTCAAAGCCAGCATACACTCTTCCTCACTGTACCCTACAGTAGATCTTAAGACTATTCTTGGGGAAATAAAAAAAGACTATTTCTGGACCTGGCGTAGTAGCCTAGCGGCTAAAGACCTTGCCTTGCATGCACCAGGATCCCATATGGGCACCAATTCCAAGCCTGGCAGTCCTGCTTCCATCCTGCTCCCTGCTTGTGTAGCCTGGGAAGGCAGTAGAGGACAGCCCAAAGCCTTGGGACCCTGCACCGGTGTGGGAGACCCAGAAGAGGCTGCGGACTCCTGGCTTCAGATTGGCTCATCTCTGACCATGGCAGCCGCTTGGGGAGAGAACTGATGGACAAAAGATCTTCCTCTCTGTTTCTCTTTCTCTATATATCTGACTTTACAATAAAAATAAATAAATCTTTAAAAGAAACAAGACTATTCCTGTTTTAACAGCACACTACCCTTTTCAAAGTTAACACTACTTAAATATACGACTCCCAAATTTCTAGTCTAGTAACGGAAGCTTCCTTTTCAATTTTTTTCTAATTTTTAAAAAAGACGTCTCCCACATGAGTGCAGGGCCCCAAGGTCATCTTTGACTCCTTTCCCAGGCCACAAGCAGGGAGCTGGAAGAGCAGTGGAAGTGCCAGGACATGAACCGGCGCACCCATTTGAGATCCTGATGTTTGCAAGGTGAGGACTTCAGGGACTAGGCTACTGTGCCAGGCCCATTATTTTCTAATTTTTATTGGAAAGGCAAGTCAGATTAATGGAGACAAAGATCCTTCAGCTGGAGGTGAGCTGATCCTAAGCCAGGAGCCATGAATCCTTCTGTGTCTCCCAACTGGATGCAGGCTCTACTGTTTTCCCAGGCTATAACCAGGAAAGTGGATAGGAAGTGGAGCAGCAGGAACATGAACCAGCACCCATATGGGATCCTGGCACTTGCAAGGTGAGGATTAGGCCAACGAGCCATCCTACTGGGCCTGTAAACTTCTTATAATTTAATCCAAAGCCACTTTAGTTGACCATTTCCCAGAACTTTTTTGCTCATTTCCACTGGTCAAACGTCGTCCAGTACCCAGTGATTACTTCTAACTTCTAATATTTTCTGAAGCCTTTGCTCACTTCTGCTTAAATACAGTATCTTAATCTGTTCAACAAATACGTATTTCACATAAACAAGAGTCAATGATAGACACCGAACAGGCAGCGTTGAACAGATGCCGTGCCTGTCTGTGTAACTCTGCTTTCTAGTTTTCTTTGTAATTTATTTAGCCACATATAAAGCACTACCTGTATGACTGGTTTATAAAACAAATTTGTCATGGCTACCACTTTATTTTTCTTTCACAGGTTTACATTTTACCGACAAGAAGACCAGGAAAGTTTTGTTTCTCTTCTCTCCTTTCTTCCTATTTTATTTTAAAGATTTATTTATTTATTTCAAGTCAAAGTTACAGAGAGGGGGAGAGACTTTCTTTTTTTCTCTCCTTCTGTTCTTTCTTCCGCTTCTAAAGATTTATCTAAAATCAAAGTTACAGAAAGAGAGAGACACACACAGAGGTTCTTCTCCCATCTGTGGCTTCACTTCCCAGAGGCCTCAACAGCCACGCTGAATCAGGTGCTAAAACTTCTTTCATGTTTCCCATGGGGACAGCAGCAGCTCCAAGCACTTGGGCCATATTCTACCACTTTTGCCAAGCCATTAGCAGGGAGCTGGATAACAAATGGAGCAGCCAGGACATGAACCAGTACCCATATAGGATGTGGGCATTACAGGTGATAGCTTTACAAAGTGCTGGTCCCATGTCATTTTTCTTATACTAAGGCTACACAAGCCAGATTTTTAGATTCTAATGTACTTCACAGTTCTAAAAAAGCAAAAGATAATTATAATTTCCTCAAATTTCTCCCTTCAATCTAAATCACATTCTTTACTCCCTATTTCTAATCAAAGGAGAGAGAAACTCATGAAAGTAACAGGACAGGACAGGACTCTTGAGTAGGTAACGAAAGTCAGCAATGTAGCCTGCAGGGAGAAAATGAAAGGCTGGTTCTGACCAGCACAGAGATGAGAAATTACAGGGATACTCAAGAAACGTAGGGCTTGGTTTCACTCTATTTCCTGTTTAAGAAACAGGTTTATTATGCTCATGGTTCCGGAGGCTATGAAGTCCAAGACCATAGCACTGACACATATGCAGTGTTCGGTCAGGATCTAGATGTACAACTCCTGGGTAAAACAGGGAAGCACAGGCTGGCTGTGGAAAAAGAGGGAGAACTCGAGGGGTGGACTTGTTTATCTCCTGCTCTCATGATTACTAATCCAGGGCCCCAAAGCTTAGAACTCTCAAAGAAAATCCATTCATAAGGGCTCTGTCTCCATAACCCAAATACCTCCCAACAGCCCCCAACTCCCCAAATTGCTGCACTGTAAGGTTCTTAGACACTGACTTATGCTGCCACACTCAAAATACACAGCATATTAGAAAACTATATGAGTTTTTACACCCAGATTTCATGGATCTTGACCTCAAATTAGTACCAAGCTTAGTGCAAAATCTTCAGTAAGGTTTTTAAATTTTATGTTATAATGTATCAGTTCAAAGGTGCTTTCCAGTAATAGCTATTGATTAATACCCTCATAAAGAAGACTGAGAATATCTGAGTTTGTTGTTAAATCCCAGGGTGTGTGACTTGGCTCTATCTCAGTGAACGCTCAGAGCCACAAGTGGAAATCATTTAAAAGCACTAAATCATTTATATGCTATTCAAGGTAATAAGGTAACTGGCCCCTTCCAGTTGGTGTTACAATTATCCTGTGTGTCATCCAACAAGCAGTCTAGGTGAACTTTTTAAGGTAATGAGTAATGCTGACCTTGCTCATCTCACAATCCTGGTACTACATCCTACTATAGGACAAGTAAAATGACTTACAATTTTGGCTCTCTCCCTGACAAACAGTTCCAAGCCCATGTACTCTGTTGGATGCCATTTGCTGGCTCCCTTATAGCTCTTAGAATGATCCAGCACTGATGACAAAATTTGACCAGATACATCGAAAGAGCAACAACTTAAACCACAACTACTGGCTCAACCTGAAACACACACACACACACACACACACACAAACAAATGCTAGAACCTGGAAAAAAAAATTTAGAGTGTATCATCCACCAAAACTAAGCAAAAACTACATTTTAAAAACTCGATGGTGCGAGGGAACACAGAACTCACAGGCTTGTGCTCATGTTGCAGTGCCACTCATGTAAGAACATTGCACGTATAATTATGTACAGGACCTAGATTTAATAAAAGCTATAACAGATTAATGCTACTGGCTCATGTATTTACTACAATATCCTTTTTGTAAAAAAAGATTTTATTTTTATTGGAAAGTCAGATATAGACGAGGAGAGACAGAGAGGAAGATCTTCCATTCAAAAATTCACTCCCCAAG